GCTCAGACCATGAGGATGGGGCTGGTGGGGATGCATCTCTTTGCTGGGAAGGAAGAGCAGGCTACAAGCTGGTAGCACTGCAGCTCAGCCTTCCCCCCAAATCACAAAGTTCTCTCAGAGTAATACCTGTGGGAATCCTCCTGTATGCCATCTATTTTTAATTTTGTTATTTTTCACTACTTCTCAGGGTCTTTTTATTTTTCCCAAGCCTTTTGCCTGTAACCACGAGGGCCAGAAGCTCGCAGCCTTTGTTGTATGCATGAAAGCGGAGCATCTCAAATAATCTTGAGTTAAAGAGCTGTGGCTTCAAAACCCCAACATGTCATATGACCAGGGAAAAAATACGGTGTGAGCTTCCATAGCAGCTCTCCCCATCCCTACAGTGCTCAGTGCTCACCCACAGCTGCCACCCCACTCCCAGCCAGAACTTACTATCATCTGCAGCTCTGGGTCAGGACCTTCACGTTCAGGAACAGAGGGGAAAATCCTCATGGAGGTCAGCCTGAATGACAGAGAAAGCAGAGGGTTGGGAGGTTTGGGGAGCGTGGTTTTGCTGATTTATTGCTGGGAAGAGAGAGTGGAGCTGATGGCGAGCAGAAGGCTCGCAGGTCAGCACGAAACGCCCGCAGAGACCTTCCCATCCAGGCACATTTTGTGCCTCTTCTTTCAGAAACGAGGACAAAATGAGCCGTGCTGGGTCAGCCTGCAGTCACCATTCCATTTGTCACCGCGGCTGCTCTAATTTGAACTAATCCCACTGCTGCTGATGGCAGGGCACTGCCTGCCTCCTGGCTGCAAGCACGCGACGGCAACAGAAAAACAGCCCCTCCTCAGCGTGGTGGGATAATATTTCATAGCATTGCCAAAATGGACCTCGACCATTTATTTTGACAGCTGTAGCTTTAATTATTAACGTGTCGATTTTACAGTGTGCTGGTAAATGGACTGCAAGGCGTTTCATAAAAAAGGAATGAAGCCTCGCCGTGGGCTCGCTGTAATAAAGCAGGAGGGAGGAATGGGGAAAGGCAGTACCAAGGGACCCCTACCAGCAAGGAGATTTGTGAGGAGAAGCTCTTCCTTTGGGAAACCTTGAGAGACGTCATAACGCTGATCAAAACTTGGAGGTGGGACACATATTTACTCTTTTTCAAGACTGAGTACCAACCATCAGCCCTAGCAGTCCAACCATCAACCTATCACCACCCTGCCCACTCACCACGTCCCCCAGCGCCCTGTCGCTCGGTGGTTCACTGCAGGATGGAGAGGAGCTGTGAGCAGGACAAGCAGTGCTGTTCCACGCCTCCACAGTTCCAATCCCATCCCACTCACCAGACAGGGAAAGAACATCTCTGCCCTTCAGAGAACGGCGATGTCTCAGTCTTTGCTTTCCTTGGGGATGGAGATGAAAGCCACAGTGTTCACGGAGGAGAAACTGCACAGACGCACACGCAGTGGGATTTAGAAAGATGAAAAGCTTTCAGCCCGGCCAACGTTTGCTGTGTTGCTGAAATGCTCCCCTGGAATTGCAGTTTGGATGTACCGTGCCTTCGTGCCCCTCCATGTAGCAGATGGCTTTGCTATGGGAACTGAACATTTCATCAGAAGTAGATTTAATGGGAAAATATTCCTGGTTCTCCTGGGCAAGCCTTGAAACTGGTGTGAACTTGAGGATAATTTTACATCTCTGCTGCGGTTCTCCGCTTTCCAAAGGAGGAGAACAACAGCAGCACACCTCGTTACAGCTCTTGGAGAGAAATGGCTGGAAAACTTTAACTAAAACCTCACAGCTACAGCAGGAAGCGTTTGGGGTCTCACCATTCTCTGTGAGGTTGGGTTTGCTCTGTAACTGAGGCGTGATGAATCGGTGCCCATCGTGCAGGCTGTCCCAGGAATGCTGCAATCATTCCTTCAGTATTAGTCCGAGGGGACCCATCACTTCAGAGGTGGTTTTAAAGAGAGATGTGAAATGAGCTGAGACTTAACACTTGCATATCGGGTGCGGATAGGTCACAAACTGAACTGTTGTTTCGGGCAGCGGGGCAGGCTGATCCCTGCAGGCTCTGCTCGTATGGGTGGGAAAAACACAGCAAGTGGGCAGGGATTGTGCTACAAATGTATGATGTGCTGAGGTAACCCTGCTCTGGGGATTGCATCCTGCCTGTGACATCTCCCTGTTCATGAGATCTCCCATTGCCTTCTCCCAGCGTGGCCAAATGGAGCTGAAGTCCCTCCAGGTGGTCCCCATGAGGAATGGACACAGATGACTGCAGAGGGGACTGGGCCCAGCCCTTTGCAAAGAGGATTAGGAGCAGTGGGGGATGATTGCTATCATTCATGTCAGGAAGCAAGCAAACAGAGAACTCCGCATTCGGTATTTTGACAAAAGCCACGGGGTCTCTATTTGCACTCAAGTTCTACAGAATGCTCTGCAGCGAGGCTTGAAACAACAAGGTAGAATGTTTATGGTACTAATAACTTCTTTAGTTAATGTCAAGGCAAGTGAGGAGGGTTTCTTGCACTTGATCCCTTGTTAAAGCTTCAGCAGTGCTAAATGCTGGGAAGGAGCAGGTTGCACAGAAGGAAAGTTGTGCTTTGTGTTTCTAATCAGAGAGGGCTGCTAATTGCACAAAGCTGGCACCGGACTGCTGGTGTCCTGGCTCATAACCTGCACACAGCCTGAAATCCAATGTCAAATATCTGGATCTCACCAATCATAGAACCATTAAGGTTGGAAAAGCCCATTAAACCAGCCAGTCTGACTGCTGATCCACCCCCACCGTGCCCACTGACCGTGTTCCTCAGTGCCACATCCCCATGGTTCTTGCACACCTCCAGGGTCAGTGACTGCACCACGTCTCTGTGCAGCTGTGCCACTGCATCACTGCTCTCTCTGAGAAGAAATTGTTCCTAATACCCAACCTGAATAATACCCTAATATCCAGTTGTGCAGTTTTAAGCCTGGGAAATGTAGGCCACTGATCTTCAGTCTGATCTAGGCAGAGTCACGTCTCAGTGTAAAGGTATCTATGGACACAGCTTTGTCTATTTTTGCCTTACAGGAAGGTAACAAAAGGAATTTTATCATTCCTGCTATCTTTCTAGTATGTAGAACAGGGTCAGCAAAAATAAACCCAAGCCCTGGCAGGTTCTTTTTGTGAATAAAGGAATATGCAGGGTGCTTCATATGCCTTATCCATCCTTTTTAACCAAAGTGCCAATTCCACTGATCCCTTCAGACTTCATCTTCGCTGCATCCATCACGTCACTTCAATACTTGGAGTATCTTTAGCTGTAAGAAATATGAATAATAGCAGCTGGATTTTGTCCATAAGGTAAAAGGAAAAGCCCTCACAAGCCTGCAAGGTAGGGAGGATGTTTAAAACAACACAGGTCGATTCAACAAGCCAAATGAGGACAGGCATTAAGGACACAGCATGGCTGCACTGAGCACCATTTTGGGGTCCCATATATGAATGCAAGACATTGCATAGACTGTATCTCATTGCTGTGAAATCTCAGCTGATGTGCAGAGGATTTTCTCACCTCCTGTGGCTCCGGGCTGTTGCTGTTGCTTTGAGTTCTTTCCTTGCAATGGGTGCTCCCAGCAGTGCTGGGAAAACTCATAGCAGCAGTGGCTGCAGCCCGCACTGTGGCTGTGGGTGTAGTAATGTGCACATATATATTGGTGGTGATGCAATCCTCGTGTTGCTGCAGGGAGGGCAAAAGAAAAGCAGCAAAATAAAGTGTCCACCTTGCGAGAATATGACAAGAGCTCATCAGCCAGGCACTGGCTGCATGCTAAATCCACCTCCCCCTATCTTTCAGCAGCACCTCAGCTGGATTTAGGGCAGGAACCCTTCAGAAGTGCTCAGCACACTGAAGCCTAATGCAGGCTGGAAATCCTGTGGGCGCTCTGCAGTCCCACTCCGACTGATGAGAGCTGGCCAGCAGAACATGCCAAAGAGCTGGGTGGGTCCATAGGGTGAGATGATGTAAAGCACTGCCCATGGCAAGGGGCAGGGTCCCTGATGACCTTCATGCTGGCAAAGGCTGCAGAAATCATAGAAAAACTCAAGCTGGAAGGGACCCATAAGGATCATGGAGTCCAACTCCTGGTTGAATAAATTTGTCATCTGCGCTTTCCTATCTCCATCCCAACGAGGCTTCCAGTAAGATCTGCTTTGCTCTGTGCTGAATAGGAGCAGCTGCACATAAGGGCTCTCTGACTACACACACTATGCATTTTTGGGGAGTGGTCAAAGAAGTGGAGTGAAAAACTCAGTGCTGCAAAGGCCCCCATGGCTGATACCTTGTTATTTGTATTCTGCATGCAAGTTTTCTATGTTTGCACACATTTACATTAAAGTTTAATAGGCTTCATTGAAGTATTTTCAGGTTCTGCGGAAAAAACAAAATGCCAAAGGAAGCCTCAGACTCCGTGTTCCTAATGTCCTCGTTCAGACTTCAGCTTTTTAGATGGTACATCAAAAAGGAACATAACGAAGCTGCTATTATTACTAATGTCTTCCCCATTATCCGAGTTGCAGGGAACAATTAAATGGCATCAACGACGTGCTGTTACGCTTGGGTACACCACCAGGCTGCAGCCTGATTCACCTCCTATCTGCTCCTGCTCTTCTCCACCTGCTCCTCGTCAGCAGGCAGAGCACTGCAGCACTGCTTCCAGCGAAACTCAAAGAAAACTTCAAATGTTTGGAGCTCCTTTCAGAAAAATAAAATGTGTGCTGAAAGTATCACCCCCTGTGGGAATTTGCCCCCTAACAGCAGCAGCCCCTTGGTGCCTCCGGTCTGGGGCAAATTGCACAGCGGCTCTCCGCGATGCTGAGAACCCAGTATCAGCCTTGAAGTGAAAAAGCTGAAATTCAATCAGTGCGCAGAACTCAGAACCTTACAGCCCACACCTACACCTCTGCAAGCTCTGTTTTTGATTTGCAGCCTTATTCCTCCACCTGGGTCTGAATGGTGAGGAGTAGGATGGGAGAGGCTGCTGACCAAGGAGGGCAGCTGGAGGGCATTGGGTCGTTGATGGGATGCTGCTCAGGGCCCGAAAGTTATAAAGGGCCCAAGCAGAGGACTCAGTACAGGTGGTGTAGGGGGTGTGGTGGTGTGTTTGTTAGGGGCTTGCTCGTGGATCTCCAGGAGTCTCCCAGAGATTGGTAAGAGAAGGCTGGAGGTTTTTTTTCCTATTTATTTAGGGGATGAAATGTCTGAAAACTGAACTTTGATGTGGGCAGTGGTTGAGTTGTCTGGGATTTCCTGTAGCAGCAACGTGGGATGTGAGGCTGGGCAAGAGATCTGTACTTAGTCTTTGGTTTGTGTCTGCTGCTAATGGTATCTGAAACATAAAATGCCCAGAGGTTGTGAGCCTGGGTGTGGCAATGGCAATTTGGAGAGTGAGCACTGGGTGTGTTAGAGCATGTTTTTGTATGGCTATGGGCCTGTGCTATGCTATTGTAGGCTTTATTGCTGGCAGGAGGGGGAATTGATATATCTGAAGTGCTGTGTTCTGTATTTGACATCTAACGTGGTGTTGTGAGCTGTCTTGTGTGCGTGTGGGTATTTGCTCTCACAAAAGGCTCCTGCCTGTTTGCTTTCTTGCTAATGAGATATCCTCACTCATTTCTTTGTTACGCCAGCTCTCATTTAGAGCTCTTTGACACGAGCAACCATTTTTCTGTGAAAGGCTGAGATCATAAGGCAGGATTATGAATTTACTCCTGAAACGTCCCATTAATAAATGATAAAGTGTTTATAAATATGCAAAATAGATTATTAGTCAATTCTACAAAATCTTGGCTACAGGAGCATAAAAGTGTGCCCTGCAGCTTGTATATCTATTATAAAAAAGAGGAAGAAACTATAAAGAAATCCAGGCTCCCTTTCTAACTTCCGAGCAGCAAGTGCTGAATAATTTACTTCTGATAGTGATTATGTTAAAAGCAAATCATTTGTTTCCTTGAACAGCTGCAAACAATGTGCTGTAAATATGTGATTTTAAAAATGGTATGCATACACAGAGGGACAAAGGAAGTTGTTCATTTGAACAGCTCATTAAATAGTAGCTCTTCAGCATGGGACTCCCCCAGTACCCTGAGAGGTACCACTGCTTTCTTTAAGCTTAACAGGCTTTGGGAATGCTAATCCTGCTTAAATAGACCTGACTTCATCAACAGGAGCTCAGACTGGAGGGTTGAGTGAAGTCCTGTTTAATTTGGTTGCTGTCAAGGCAAAGGATGAGCCATGTCTGCTGCTCCATGGAGGCCTGTCCTTGGCAGCTGGTGGTTGCAGCAACAGTTTGACCATTTCTCCAAAAGAACCCTCCGTATTTCTCCTTTGCTGTGACTTTATCTATGAGGGCATTGCTAGCCCATAACCGCTGGGCATGGCAGGGAGGAATTCGGGGTTTTTGTGGCCAAGCGTTGGTGGCAAGGAGGGCAGAAAGGCAGGGACCCCCTCATCCACTTCCTGGCGCTGACAGCATTTGCTCAGCATCAACACCTTGAAGTGGTCTGACCTCCTTAAAAAAAAACAAGAAAAAGTACTTTGAAAGCCTCTTTTTCCTGTTCACCTGAGAAATATTGTAACACTGGTGGGCTCTGTGCCTGTAGGAGTCCTTAAGCAAGGAGCGGGATGGAGCCAGGTGATGGCAGACACTGCCCAGAAGGCACTGCTGAGACAATGCTGCTGACAGCTGGGCAGAAATGAAGTGGGGAAATGTCAGATGTTCTTGACCTGAGCTAAACCTTCACGAATTGAGGGCAGGAGGCGAGAGAAATGTCTGTAAAGAAGAGCTGCTTTCCAGCTAAATATATTTGTACCAGGGCAGAGGCAGTCTGGAAACTGATGGCAGCAGGGGGGAACAGCTCTGGGGGTGTGAGGGCTTTACAAGTGATGTCTTGAGGAGCTGAAGATGATTTGAAGCATTTTATTCATCTTCACTTATCAGCAGCACTGTGCTTATTCTGAGCTGGCATCAGGGCTGATGAGGAACAGCCACATCAGCCCAGATTGCTTCGTATCTCCTCTAACAGACACAGGGCAGCACAAACACACGCATTACCTGGCACAAAATACAGCCATGTTCAATCTTTCTGTACTGCAGCTGTTTGATTTCAGTGGTTTCACCCCCAGGGCTGGAAGGAGGAATCCTAATTCAGAGTCCTTGGGCACCTTTGTGCCACCATCTTCCCATCGGGTTGTTGGCTTAGAGAAAGTTTTGAGGCTTTTCCATCCTCTCCTGCTGCTAATTTGATGCCTGTTAACACATGGAGAACTGCATCTGAAATGGTAATGCCATTTGCTTTTTAGCTTTAACAGCAATGGTCACTCGTTCCGTACTGTTGTTTTTTTTTCATCAGATGGAAGTGCTGCTTTGAATTAAGCTCAGCTCATTGAACAAGCCCTGAGCAAACGGTCATTAGAAAAGCAAACCAAGTGGGAATGTGGTTGGTTGAGCTCAGAGGAGCAAGTGTCTGCTGGAAACGAAAGCTAGGAGAGTTTCTGGTGTCTTAGAAATTGGTAATTGCCAGCTGATAGGAAGATCAACTGTCTTCAGTGATGTTTCTGTGCAGCCTAGTTACAGACTACTTGGTCTTAAGCAATTAGAGCCGTTTCTGCTTCATACTCTAATAGAGCTCGTTGTCAGGCGTAATTCAAATTATCTCAGTGCTAAGCTAATGTCTCTTTGATAGCACTTGCCAAACATCGCTGACAATTTTGTACTTTTAAGTATCAAGGCATCCAAAGATCACTGACAGACACAGGAGGGGCATCCCTCCCTTCTCCAGCATTATAAATATGTATTGAGTTAACCTCACGCTTGGGTACAGACAGTGGCTGCCAGTGAGAGCAGTACCTTGTATGAAGGTAGCAACACCACGTCCAGCAAAGGAAAGGTCGTGTTATACCTTGGTCTGTGCAGAACTCTACCAGAAATCAAAATAACCTGTTAAGAGGACCCATTTAAAATATATATATATGAGGACGTGTCTTGTAGCTTCAAGTTTATCCCATGTCAAAATTCAGAGAAGGCTAAAATGAGCATCCCCTTTCTGCCCAGAGCCCCAGCTGCAATCATCTTTATCCAACTCCAGCTTTTTCAACCCTTAGCTAAGAAATTACACCAGATTTTTGGTCATTTATCTCCCACTTGAGTTCTCATCAGAAAAGCAAGTGTGTGCAGATTGCAGCTGCTGCCTTTCATTTGATCTTCCCTTCTGCAGTGTGCACCAAATAAGGGAGCTAGTCCTGTTTGAGCACAGCTGGGTTAGGCTGGTGCTCCTCTCGGTGGGTCAAACTTCCTACAAACACCAGCTTTGCTGCACAACAGCTGGCTCATGGCTGAGGCCTGATTACATTTTGATACGCGTGTTGAATTGGATTTAACTTCACTTTGGCAGGATGTCATTCAAAAGGCACTGGCTGGTTGGCAGCTGCTCTTTGTCTACAGCACTGAATTAGTCTGACTATGAAATAAGGCATGAAGACATCAAAGCAGGAGCGACTCTGGAATGTGGGAAGAGGCAGAACTGACTCATGCAAGGGACACTGGATCAGACTGTCCCATAACTAGCAGCCCCTCCTCACTTTAAATAAACATAGTGCAAGAGGAGAAGTCTTCAGAGAGCTTGCTCATAGTCCTAAAATGAGCATTAAATCCCCACACGCCCCACTGCCCTGATGCTCGTCTCTAGCTCTTCAGCATCTCGTGTGCCCTAAAAGCCACAAGGCAGAATTGCTTCAGATTGGGAACATGGACCCACGACCCAGCTGGAGGAAGCCTGCCCACTGCTGCTGTGCAGTCTGACCACCCTGGGGAGGGGAGACGGATCGGTTCACTCCGCTTGGCTCATAGCCTGGGACAACAGGGCTGCAGTTTGTGGGTTTGATGCTACTTAATAAGGCTGGAACCAGCAGTACTGATGTCTTCGCTATAGCAGAGATGTTTGCTTTTTGAATCCAGATGTCAATCTAGCGTATTGATAGGGAGTCTGTGTGACTAAATGTATTTCTCTTCTGTGCTGTCACAACCAGTTTCTCTCCTTGTCGCGCTCTGGTTCAGGCTCACTGTACGAAGGGACGTGCAGCTCTGTACCAAGGCAGCGTGCAAGGCAATCTGAAGATCAGTGCACTTCAGCAAATGACAAACCCTTTCCCACCCCCTCCCTAAACACAACAGCACAAGGAGAGGTTTCAAGAACATGTTTAATAATGGCAGTTTCTACTGAAACATGAGATGTCCATTCAAACTTGTCTTACCAATTTTTCTTATTAAAAAAAAAAACAAAACAACCTTTGGTCACAACAACAAATTTTCTTAAAACACTTAAAGTTCAAGCAATTGCACAAAACAAAATGCATGGTCCTGATAACTCCTCACACAAAGACTGCAGCAGCAGAAAGCCATGTAACAAAAGAAAAAAACCTTAATGAAAACCATGGTGTGCCACCCTGCAGAGATTATGCCACGTACAGTGCTTTAGAGGGAGCAGTAATGAACAAAACGTTCAAATGCATTAGCAATTAAGTGTTCATTAGACTTCTACAAGTCGTTTGGAGCTTAGGATAAGCATTGACCTGTGTACAAGTTAGTGTGCTGAACAAGTGTTTGCAGTCATCTCCACATCTTTCAGGGAAGGGAAAAATACTACCTGTGCATTTCTGCCTTAATCCTGCAGGCAAACATGGCACGCTGACTTCTGCAGTTGGAGTAACGAAGCTGTGATTCTGTGCAGGGTTTTCCTCCGCAGCACAGCATGCACAAAGAGGAAAGCCTCTAATTTGCTTGCTCTGTTTGACTCTGCTACTAGTCAGTGGATTTTGTAAGCAGTGAGCAAGCTGCAGGCAGACATCTGTAATAATGTTTCTTTTCATTTTCTGTAACAGAAAAATGCCTTTAAAATGCTCTTGAACAAAGCAAGCTCGACTATGCAACACAAAATAGCAGCAAATACTAAGAGACAATCACAATCAGATTAAATCTGCACTGTAAGATGCACAGAATGTTAAGGTAAAACATTCATGTAGTGGTTAATGGTTATTCCTTTCCAATGAAATAGATCTACCTGAAAAACAGTCCAAATTATTAAAACTATGTTTTAAACTAATTCCTACAATTAAAAAAATATTCTTATATATACTATTAGATGAGTCACATCAAGTGCTCTTAAAATCTTAACTAAATATAGCTATAGAATATTTAACTAGACAATTTAAATCACATACAGCAACTTTTATAGAGGTAAACATTGCCTCACATTTGCAACAGCAACTGAGCAACATCAAACAAAGAATTCAGGTTATTTTCATGACCGTGAGCAGTGGGTGAGGTCAGCCTTTTATTTTGACCAAGTAGCTGCTCCCCCCCCTCCCAGCACTCCTCAGCTTATGGCACATCATTTGGGACCTCTCTGAGGAGCAAGCTGAGCACCTCTATTTTCAACATCTGAAATGCTTGGTCCCCATCCACCACTGAGATTTGTCCATGTTATAAAACAGTGGGGTTTTTAGCCACAAGCAAGTGGAGCAGATGGCCTCTGCCAGCTTAACTCTGCAAGTAACCTGAAGTTGGTGGAAATAATTCATTTCAAGAACTGACTTGCCCTTGGAAAGAAGTACCCTTTATGCTCCTCTCATCTTTCTCCTTTGTCACCTGGTCTTGCCCCTCTTTTGTGCAAGGAGGCTTTATTCCCTCTATCCCCACCAATTCCAGAATGCCTGATGCTCAGCTTAATGAATTTGGCAGAAGTGTGGACATGAACATGTTGCCATGGTGTTTGCTCAGAAAGCACAGCTACTGCCCTTCATCACCTCCTTCAGCAAATGCAAAAGGAGCTTTTAACCTAGCTTTCCTCTCAGCATCGCCACTTCTTTGACTTAAGAAGGATTCTACCTATCTAAATTTAGTTCCTGCTTTTCAAAGTACTTTAGTCCTGAAGAGGCATGCTATTTCCTTCAGAATCATCCAGCCTGAATCTCAAATCTGCTTTACCAAAGTGGGGAAAGATTCTCTGGCTTTCATCTCAATCTGCAGCACTGCTCAACCCACCAGTACTTACACGTTATACCATCCTGGAGACAGCCTGCTTGGCCCCATCATCAGTTCCTCTACTCTCACTTAGTAGCTGATATGAAATATTGCTTAGTAACAGTACTGTGGAATGACTCAAATTCATTCCATGAATGAAAATAGCAAAGCATTTTTATATTGCCTTGATGACTAATGGTAACACGACAGTCTCCCATGGGATTTTTCCATGCCAGTTGAGTGGGATGTTTGTGAAGCCTTTGCTAAGTCAGAGTTGCAGAAAGCAAGCTATGGGAGCTACTCTTACGAAAGCACAAGGCTGCTGGGGAAAAGAAATTTCCCTTCTCCTCCTCTTACGGACTGCAGGACCTAAGGGAACCGTGCAGAACCAGCATAGGTTATGGTATCATGACAAAGCAGCTTAGTGTTCTCAGCAATCATCAATTCCACAAAAAAAAAAAAAAAAAAAGGCAACTCACTGCAAGGATGGTTCTTTGCCAGATACTCTGCAGTCTCCTTGAAGGGCTGTAACTGTAGGAGTAAGTCAAGCAAACAATGGGACAATCCTAAAATAAACAGTGTGGTTCCCAAGAAAAGCAAGGTTCTCCAGGCAGCTTTAAAACCCAAAGTACGAAGGTTTCAAGGGTGAAGCAAATGAAGAGTAAAAGTGTCAAAGAGAAATCTGAGCTGCATCTGTGGTTACTCTAAAGGAAAACCACAATGTGAAGAAACAAAACCAGTTAGGCTTGCCTTTTCTAATGACTGCCTGGAAAGTATACATGCTTGTGGTTTCCTTAGCCTGATCCATCCAGATGCAGCTATCTCATTTTGTTAGTGTCCTCCCACAGCTCTGACCTCTGCAGCGTGAAGCATAGCAGGGAGTAATGGTTCAAAATGCATCCTTGAGTTTAATGGGATTTGCCAAGCAGGTGGTAAGGGAAAACTTCCAGTTTTTTACAGATTAAGATCACTTATATAAAGCTTCCGTGAAATATAAGTAGTGGTCTTTCTGCAGTCAAATCATTCCATGTGAGGACTTACTCTGCTTAGAAAAAAGGTAATACAGATGACTGGTACACAAGTTACAGTAAGCATAGGACACACAACAGTACAAAACACTTTAACTCCCCGTGGAAGGGCAGAAAATTACAAAAATATATCTTTTTTTTTAATCCAAGATTGTTGTAGTGTAGGGCATGTCTGATTCCTCCTATTTCCCTGTGATCTCATTTATTGTTGGTCTGATCAGAGCTCCTAGGGACAATGAAAATGTCATTATGAAAGCTTAGTGCAACTATAATGTTTAAAAAATCAGTAGCAAGTCAAGAAATTTTTCTGCATGAGTCAACCTCTCACCTTTTTCCCCTTAAAATCCTATACTAAACATAGTACGGCATTTTAACATGGCTTACATTTTTACCACCTAAAGTCACAAGTCACTTCTGTAAGGCCAGAAAGAAAATACCCTTCTTAATATTTAAATGTATGAACTGTTCTACAGTGAGCAAAGTTTAACAGTGACTAAAGTACTGAATAGGGAAAATAAGTCCTTGAGGCAGCTTGATTGAATCTTCCTGTTCTTCCTTCTTCTGCAAAACATATTTAGACCATAATGAGCTGCAAGTTAGTACACAGGGCTGTATCTTGTCATGCTTTAGTGACAAAGCAGTCCTCTTAAAGCAAGAGACAGCTGAGTTGGCGAGGAGGAACTCCATCACTCCAACATAGTGGTCTGGAAACCAGGGAACCTAATGGTGACATTTTGGTTGGAAGATTTGTAGCCTGCCATATAAACAGCACCTCGAGGAGATGAGGCTTGGTTTGGTTGTAATGCTGCAGAGATGAAAGCCTCCCCTTTCACAGTTATGGCTTCAGCAGGTCCCTCAACAGCAGAATGCCACCTGGCAGGGTACCAGTGCTCCACAGAACTGCTCTACCTGGAAAGAAGCAGGGGAAATTAGTGCTTTTGTAGATTTGCAATTAAATAGCTCACAGACAGAGATGAGAACTGATGTGCATGGGATGGGGAAAAAAGCCTCAAAGGCAGTGTTATTCACTGATTGCTGTCAGTTCCCTCCAGCAGCTGATTTCCACGTTGACAATGGACACTGATATGAGGTTACTGTTATGCCAGGAGAAAGCAGACCAAGCAAAGGAAAAGAGCAGCACACCAGACAACCCCTAGATTGTGTGGTCAGCACTGTGCAGGCCAGAGCAGGGAGCGTGCACACAGGAGGAGGTTTGTATATCACTGCACACGGAATAACATCTTGGACCTAACAGCTTTTTTCACATCAGTGCAGCCCCTCGCTAACCAGCATGTGTGGATTATTCACCTTGCAATGGATTCTCCTGCTGACCCCCTATTGCTTTAACTGTTTCAGGATTTAATGACTAAAGACAAAAAAGAGAAAAAAGTCTTAATAGAAACTTGTTATACTGTCGTGCATGAGGTGAGCACCTTCTCATAGGACTGCACTGCCTGCATATGATCAGCTGAACTGGCCAGCAGAATGTGGTGTGCGCTGTAACAAGTGTGAGGGAAGAGAAACTGTCCTTCAAAACCCAAGCAGAAAGTGCTTTCTAACTATGTATTTCCTCCCCTGCTGCAGATCCACAGGAAATCATAAACAGCAGCATCAAAGCTTTGGCAACTTGCTGTATTTATGGCAAGCAGCTGACTGAGTCGGTGATTTGCACCCCCTTCAGATGAGGGTAAATGATACACCTCCATTTATACTCAACCTGTCACTGCTGCTAGAAAAAAAAATTTAAGCTGCTACAAACCCCAGTGCAATTCACCTAGCATCATCCATAAAGGCCCGAGGCTTTCACTTGCCAAAAATCCATTACAGCTGCTCCCTTGAGAGCAAACACGCTGCTTTAACAAGCAGACAATGCCCCGCTCCGTTCAGGGCTGCACACGCAGTTAGGATCTGGAAAAGATGTATTCAAAGAGAAGACACCAATATTGCAATCGTATATTTTACAGAGAGACTCCCAGAAGACTGGAGCACATCAAAGCTGAGCCCCACAACGGTGATGAAGATGTATTCACACAGTTCAGTGCTATCAGCACCTGAAAAGGGGTGAATCCAGAAATAATGCGCTCTGCCAGCCCTTTGATACAGCGCATCTTTCCTCTAAAACGTCCCGCGAGCTCTCCAAAGCCCTTTAGTCCAATGATGAGTGCATAAATGTTACTGACCTCTTCTCTCTGCCTGCCACCACTCCTTGCACATAAATCTTTCCGCTTTCAAGAGCGCTTTGCAAGAAGCATTCCTAAAATGCTTCTGTGCTTTGTTGGTACTGCTGCTGTTAGAGGGAGAGGTGGCAATCCACGTGGAAAACAAACGGAGACATTTCACTTAGCTGACAGGAGGGACAGAAGCTTCAATCTGCCCCGAGAAAAACTTGTGGCTTTCTTTCGGTTCTTATTTAGGAGTCAGACATCTGGGTTGGGAAAATTCCAACTCTGGTATTTAAATTCTGAGCTCTTCCTTGACTGCGGGCTCTCGCGTGGCGCATCTCAGCCTGGACCCCAAAGGCTCCGCAGGAACAGTTGTGAAATTCACCCAGCTGGGCCCAGCAAGCACAGCAGGAGCAGAATGCACTGCCTCAAGCAGCTGCACTTCAGCAGGGAGAGGAGATGCTGATCTTCCAGATTACTGAAGTGCTTTCAAAGTGTTCGTGTACAAGGTACCACAGAATTTATTCAGTGCTTGTTTTGCTTTTTCTATTGAAGCTGACAAGGAATCCCCCAATGAATGACGCTAGAGTTAATAAGCTTAATAACCCAACAATTTTAATTACCTTTTCAGAAACTGGTTCTTTTCGAAACTGCTCTAATCTCTTTTTCTCTTATTACTTAAAGCATTCTGCCTGCATTGTGATGAGGGATGAATGAAGTTTATTGGGGGTGTCTGCCTGTCACCTATTCCCTTCCTTTACACTTCTTGAGTATCATGCAGTGCTATCGTGTAGGAGATCAGAAAATCTGTGTAACTTTCTTTCAAGAAGGCGAAGGAAAGTGCTAATATAGCAAATAGGAGAGGAACATTTTAAAATCCCACCTACTGATGGGATGAGAAAGCACAGCAAAGGATGGGATTTAGCTTTCCATTTAACTCATTTTCCAAGATGTAATCCCATCATAAAACATGAAAAAATACCTGACAGGTGGAAAATGATGACCAGTAATGTTGATATTGTCCAAAATCGATTGGACGTGGATAACTTTCAGCCTTCTGCAGCACAGACTGAATCGGGGATCAAGAAATAAGCATTCTCTATGTTCAGTTTGCTTTCTTTGTGTAGCTCTGTAATAATTTCAGAAAAATTCTTCAACTTTTTATCCCAATGCCTCATTCAAAACCAGAGCAAATACACCAAAAGCTATCCTACATACTAAAGAAACATTCCCATGAAGCTTTTCAAAGAGGTGCTAATATCCAAGTGATTAGGCATCTTTGCACTGTGACAATCTCTGATTTACACTTTCAGCCTCTTGTCAGAGGCTGAAATTGTGCTCTCAGGATTAGAGAAGCCATTGACAGAACCATTTCCTCTGCTGCAATAAGATTGCAAAAGGGGCATCTAATCCAGCACCCTTGAGCTTCTGTGTCTGACAGAGACAGGTAGTGGGTGGCTTTTGCCTCTGTGGAAAGGACTGTATTTGGTTGAGATGTGAAGTGTCTCATTAGCTTGCTTTATGGAAAGAGACAGGTATTCCTTGGCTCCGTGGAAGCAGAAAGTGGGGGATCTATTGGGAGCCCCAAATTTTAGAGCCTCCTCAAAAAAAATGTAAACACCTTCATCCAGCAGCCCAATTTACACTGCCTGCTGTTCTTTGATGCCTCATGTAGGGCTGCAAACAAATACTTGCAAGGACAAAGCATGAAAGGAAAGAAAATTAGCTGCATGAGAACAATTGGAGAGGTATATGTGGCTTCTCCCCTGTTGCTGCCAGACATCAACTGCCTTTTAATTAGGGCTGTTTGCATTGCATGGGGGACGTGGCTCAGAATCTTAATTACTCCCCCAAACACAGACATGTCAATGTGTACCTCTCAACAATCTGGAGGGGACCCCAAACAAACCAGCCCAGAGTCCACCCCATCATCCTCAGCAAAGACTTAAGCTACAAACTCGAAATGAGACTCTCTGTGAGCTGTTTATCAGCTTGAGAAATACGTCAATACTGAAGTAATATACTTAGTGTTATGTACAGGAGGCACCTAACGTCGTGGTAATCCAAGGTCAGCACTTCAGGAGTCCCATAGCTGCCATGCAGGTAGCAGCCCTATGAATCTAAAAGCACATAATTGTCTTGGAGCCCATGAGTAACATCTGAGCTGAATGATGCTCGTACTCCATTGTGGCCCTACTGCATTGCATTCTGGAAACCTCATTCCATTTCCACGATGTTTTAAATATATTTATGGTGCTTTCCTTGTGGAAAGCATTGGGCAAAGGCCATAGCAAGTCACAACTTTCTGGAGAATGGACTCTTTTCCTTGTACTTTTACAGCCTTTAAATCCCCAATGAACAGCTCTGAAGAATAAGCTAATTTCATATGACTTTCTGGAGCCAGGAAGGCTTCAAAAATTCTAGGTTTCAGTGACAGAAAGTTGGTTTCTGCAGCAGATGTGGTAGCGCATATGTTACAATATTGAGTGATGTGCCCAGCCAATAGGCTTATCTTTTCCTACCAGCATGACATGAGGAAATAAAGAATTAAAAAAAAAAAATCAGAATGACACCTCTTGGTCAGCCATAGCTCTGCACCAGCAGATCCTCCCATAGCTCTGGGCTGAATGAGGTTCAGCCTCTCTGAAAGCAATCCCTGGGATGGTGCAGTCACAGAAGCGCTTTATGTGAAGCAGCACCTTGCCAAAATCCCCACGCCAGGAACTGGTAGCATAGACAGGGGCCAGAAGTCTGTTGTACTACAGGCCAAGCGAGTGCTGCTGCTAGGAGGTTGATTGAATAAATCCAAACGATGGATAGTGACTGCTGGCAAGGAGGCACCTTCATTTGAATATAAAAATAAACACATAAAAGAGAGCACAGTGCATCCTAGCCTGTGGGTACTTGTCAGGAGGCACCTGTTGCTCCTCTATCCCCTTCACAACTGCTTCCAGGTTGCTGTGGTTCGTTACACTCTGCTGTAGTTTAGCTAATGAGTTGAGACAGCAACATCATGCCATTCCTTATGCAACAGCCCAGTGACAACTGTGAGGGTTCACCTGATGTGTTTGCACTTTTTTTGATATAAAGGAGAGGGGAAGCAGCTTTCCTGCTGCAATAATTAACAAAGATTCCTTCAAATCTGCAGGCACTTGCTGAACACCTATAACAATCCTATCACTCCAGTTATGTGGGTACCCACATATATTTATAACTCCTTTTAACCATGGGCAGGCATCAGAGATACCACTCTTTATGTGATCTTGCTGGAATCTGCCTCCAGCTGCAAACAAAACAAAACAAAAACCTTAGGTGGCAAAAGTTAACTATTATTCTTTGATGGGGTGGGGAATTCCAGCTTCTACCAGGTGTTCTGTTAATTCACCAACCATCGAGGGCACATCTGAGATGCTTACTTATCTTGACACAAGTGCTACAAAGGACTTCTTGACTAGTTTAGGGAGGGATTTTGGTGGACAAACTTGGTAATGCGTGGATGCAAAGATCCTTTACTGGTTAACAGGAGACAGGAACTACTCAAGATGTGGTCTCTGAGAGGCACAAAGGTATCAGGAAGCAAATGTATCTTCAAAGAAGCTTTCTGATGCTCAGTCCTGCGAAGGAGATGTCTGTAAGGTGATATTCCCCTCTAGACTGAGGTAGCACTGTTTGAGCTCGAACTGTATGCTTAAAAACAGCAAAGACTTCAGGAAATATGGAATTTAATAGCTGTTGTACTGTGGCAGAAAGGAGGAATTCCCACAGATGAAGAGAGGACAGGTTGGCTAAGAATCAAAACCCCCTATTGTCTCTGAACAGAGCATCACACAAGGTGAGATGAGCCATTTGTACTGCAAAGGAACCCATGAACACTAAATAGCTTTTGGGAAAGTATCAGTACAGCATGTGCTCCAGGGGAGCAATGTCAGATTACATGACTCTCACGAGTCAGAGACTTTCCAGCATGCTCTCCTCTTTGTTCATCTAACATTTTACTATTAGATATCTTATCCTGAAGCATTGCCATGATGCAGAATCTTCTGTTCTCTGTCTTTGGAAAATCCCTCTGATGCTGCTACCATAAGGTCACAGAGAAAGTTCTCAGTTATTTCTGCTTAGTGAAGAGGAAGCAGGGCACGAGACAGAGGACTGTTGAAGGAGGCTGTGGTGAGATAGATTTCTTCAAGGTTAACAAAGTCTGGGTCAAACAAGCTGCTTGAGGAACAATACAACCCAAAATTATTACTGTAAACACAGAACAGCTACAGGGAATGGCAATGGGATGTCAAGGACTTAAAGGAGCCTTCCAATTCAGGCACTAATTACTAATGTTTAGCAACATGACTCATGCCCTTCATTGTTTTGAAACTTCCAACTAGAGCCTGACTTTTACAGAGAAAGAATGCAGTTATTTTGATAATGACCAGCAGAACGTGTGGTGCTGTGTGTTTTAGATGCTGGCATACAAGTGCTTAGAACAAATATGTCGTTCCCCTTTCTGAAGTTAAGAGATGGGCAACTTGAGTGAAGTCTGATTATTTTCCAATTAGGAGTTGTCAAGATCTGCATTTTTATAATTAGAAAAGCTTATTTCAGCCAAAGAGAGACAGATTTTAGAGTAGGCCATATTTGGTTAAGAATGCAACTCAAGTGCTGCATATTGCTGGATGCAAATAAAAATAAGAGGTGCAGATACCCTCATGCCATAAATCAACGTGCAACATCATTACATGCTGAGTGTCCGCAATAAATCTCAGGTCCAGAATAGGCACCAAAAGGTTTGGGTTGTCACATTGCTCCTATCTCAGAAGAGACAAACACGTTTAGGGAAAGTTTGTTGCTAAGGGATAACTGCTGCAACATTAGGGAGTGACCACAGTCCTTTCTCTGTCACAGAACAATACCACAGCATATCTGAATCCAGAGGTCAGTGCAGATTTGCCACTGTTTCCTTCCCTACTATACTGCAATAACAGTGCCTGGAAAAGCAGCCCTTGACACACAGTCCTCTATCTAGAATGTGTGTAGGCACTGTGAGTGTGCAGGAATGATTGCTGACAACTGCTGGAGAGGGGAAGTTCAGTCTGTTAAACCTTGTTAGCTATGTGGGGCATGTGTATCCTACTGAGCTGCTCTGCAAAGGAAAGAGGAGGGCAGAGAGAGCCTCAGGGTAGCAAAGTGGTTATTATAAGAGAAGGAGAGTATGGAGCAGATGTGTGCTGAGAAACTAGGCACAGGAGCTGTAAAGGAGAGTGATAAGGCTCAGACAAAGCGAAAGGGAGACAGTGATTGCCTCATCTCTGTCAAGGAGGCCCAGTGGAGAGGAAAGAACAACCTTTCCTAATAAGAGCTCAGTAGCAATTCTGACTGGATGGGCTTGCAGCCATACCTGTATTTCACATCAAACACTGTTGAGTCTTCATCCTCATCATCTTCTTCATTGAGAGGAGCCATTTCTACCCGCTCAGCTGGAGTGGTGATTATGTCATACTTCCTGGTCTTCTTAATCCTCTTTCCTGACCTGAAACAACAGAGGTGGGGAGGTTAAGGTTCATGTCTATACAGTATTCCTTAGAGGATAAAGCTGTTTCCTGTACACACAAGCCCACCAACAATCAATACCAGTCTGTTGGAGACCTCCCCAGACATAAAGGCCATGGAGCCAGTCTGCACCCTGCCCTCCTGCTGCCTTTCCAGGGCTCCCATTTGTGCCTGTCAGTGTATAGAACCATTTCTTGTCAACTGCAATCTGGATCAATGTCAGTTTTTTCAGCTGCTGACAATCCAGAGATCATTTGGCATCCAGGACTAGCACTGAGCAGCAGTCCACTGCGTCCTCCTGCTGCCATGCTCAGTAAGCGAGGCACAGGCTTAATCAGCAGAAGCAACCAGTGGTTTAGAGAATGTGTTTAAATGGGAAAGCTCAGGTTAACTCTACTGAGATGAGGGAATTCTGGGTAGGATTCTAAGGAGTGAAGGGTTGGCAATATTTGGGTACAAACAGCCTGCTTTCCTTTTCTTGCTATCAAGCCTGGCTCAAGGCTCCTCCTGCAAAACTGCCTTGTCTGAGAAGTTCTGTGCTCAGTGCTGTGCAAGTGCTATGAAAAATAATCAGTTGTGATTTGTAGCTAACTGTACCCGTTACCTCTCCTCCCACAACAGCTTCATGTTCCTTTTGAAATGGAGATACTCAAGTGCTTGCACACTCCAGGATTTTGTAAGATCTATTTTCAAATACTTACTTTCAATTAACAAACAATTGGCACGCGGCTTTTCAGCTAATTCCCTGCTTCTAGTTTGAATTGGGTGGGTCCTTTTTACTTCACCTACTTCTCCAGTGTGTATTAGGAAGGTCACACTGCTTATGTGTGAATCCAGTTCCATGATCAGACAATGAAGAAAGTGTTGATGTGTACAGCTTGCCTTCAGGGAGGAAAGACAATGTTTCTGTAGAATTTTCCCTTTAACCTTTAATAAAACAGAACTACCAAGCATGGGCTGATGCAGGCACAAGCAAGCAACCCCTAATTTCTGGTAATCACAGCTACTGTTCAGAGCAGGTCAGGACTGTGCTTTCACCGTCAAGAAGCCTTGCCCTGGCATGTTGTGCAAGGTGTGCTGGATTCGACACTGCCATTTTTGCATCAAGAACAAATGTCTTGTAAAGAGTTACACAGCAGGGAGATCCAAGGTGTAGCCATTACCAAGAGACTGGGACTTGGAGCTTGCATCTGGTGTCTCTACCAGAGCTGACTACAGTGGTCTCTTCTGGCCTTAAAGTAAAGGAAGTTTAAATTAGAGAGCTTAAGAGCTCCAGCCTCAGTGCCTCTACCTTGTGTGGCTTTTGGCTGTTAGTCTGAGGCTGAAGAAAGAGGTCCCATCCCTTGGGATGGAGGTGTTTGCATTTCCTCCCTGTGTGGTTGCAACAGAAGAATGGAGACAGACTACTTCTGTCACCTAATCCTTACAGCAATCTGTGCTGCTGTATTTCACAGAGCACAGGGTGGGCTGTGCTATTACTGCTGTTGGTGAAACAAGCCATTTTGTATCCAATACAGTAGGAATCTTAACCTAAACACTTGAAATTTTTTTTTGAAAGCACTTGTCTGTATTATTCTGCTTCTCAGCCAAGACCCAACAGCTAAGTGATTCAGGGAGGTCTCAACTTACAAGTAATGCATTGCTTTTACAGGAATCATTTACTCACGCTGTGAAGCATAAACAGACACAAGAGCTAACCTATGTCTACCTGTCAGAACCAACGAAGCGCAGTCTTAGCACTTCACCTTATGTCTACAGATTGCAACAGCTTTCCATAGGTTCCCAATTTAAGAGCCTACCTGCATATTTTGCCCACGTTAATGAGAAGCAGCCTTCCTTGTTCCCTTCTTATTCTGCAGAGTTCATCTTAGAACAGTAACACTGGAGCGTCTGAAGCAATTACTGCAGAATAGCTATCTTTAGAAATTGTAAGCTAGAACACTTTAGCCTCCAGCAATTAATTAGTCTATTTGGGCTCCATTTTAAAGGGGACCCGGAGCAGAACTCGCTGCACAGTTATCTCTTAATCCTCTGTAACCCTCACTTAACCGTAGCATTCATTTAGAAAAGGGAAGAAGTTGGTTCTGCTGGTTTTTGGCGCAGCCTCTACAATCATTTGCCCAAAAGGCAAACGATTTTCTCCATGAATTCGACACCATTTTAACTCACTAATTCATCATGAATTTTTGCAGCGGTCACTTTTCTCACACTGGCTCATTTGGACAACTCCCCTAGGTTTCATCAGCACCAGAATCATCACCCAGGCTATTTTGAAGGAAAGCATTAGGACTCTCCCTGTACGCATGCAAAACAAGTTTGTCTGTTAGGAAACTGCTGCACATGAAAACTGCTCAGCCTTGGTAGGATCCCTTTAATCATCTGTGTCGGCAGTGCGAAAGGAAAAGCACTCGATCCAGTGGGTGGGACCAGACAGTATCTTTTGTCTGCAGGCAGACAGCAGCGTCAGCAGAGCAGTGCAGGGAGGAACTACAGAATACGAATGTTTCATGAACTTTTGAGACCTCTCAGGTAGGATGAGGATATGTCAGGCCTCGTGGGTCTATTTTTTATGCGCTTTTTTCTTTTTGTGGTGTTTTTTTAATATTTAAAGCAAACAAAAAAGCACTGAAAGCTGTGGCCAGAGTATGTCCCTGGCATAGTGACAAGGTGAAACCCTCAGAGTGATTTCATTTGGGTAGGAGTGGTAGTGCATGTTGCAATGCTGAAAGCTGTCTTCCATCTCAAAGGCACGTTGCTTCTGCTGTCCGACTCCAGCCACCTCCTGTAAATAGCAGTGAGGGTGCAGAGGCAGCAGGGCAGGATGGTGCTTGGGATCATCAGAGCCTGGGATGGAAGGAGGTACTGCGGAGTGTCTGCACTGTGCAGGTCCCAGCAGCTGATGCTAACAGCTCCTGATGGCTTTACCCCCAACTCTGGGGCCGCCATACAACCAGCATGGGGTAGGAAAAAGAAGCTAGCTGTAGCCAGAAATATTAGCTGTTCACTTGAGACCCAGTATTGCTCCCATCCAAACCAGCTAGCCTTAATAGAAGGCAGATTTAGTGAGTGCAAAGACAGAATGAAGAAGAACTGATTGGACCTGACGCGGAGGGCTGCTTCCAAGCTCCTGAGCTATTCAGCCTCCGTTGCTTTTGCTTATTTGCATTCCCCTTGGGCTGGAATGCCTCAGGCACTGCATACCACGTTGGTGTCTGGCCCGTAAGAAATCAGATGTATTCCCTTCACCGCACAGCAAGGGGAGGGAGGACACGCAAAGATGGGCTGGAGCAGAATGCTGACTTTGTGTCTCTGTATTTTGACCCGGGGCTATTTAGATCAAGCACCAGTCACATGCAGAACTTCATCCTTCGTTCTGAGGCATCATGTGGTGGAGTAAATGCCCAAGCCAACTCACTGATTCATTACATTATTTACGCCTCTCATCTATTTTAGTCAACAACCCTGATATTCAAAGATAATGCTTTTCTTGACCCATAGAGAGAGGTCTCTGCATTTCTAATCTACCATTTACACTTCCTGCCAACAGCTGCAGAGGTAGAAGGCCATGCCCTGAGGAAAAAAAGGAAGCTATCCTTTCACAGTAGATGTTTATTGAAGCCTGATTAAGCCAGCTACAAACCTCCCCCTACAAATGTAGCAATGCTGTATTGGGAGCAGAATTGGGACCAGTTTATTTCCAGTACGTGAATTTCTTTAGCAGTTAAAAAATATGGAAGTACTAAGCTGGGGAAACTCCAGGCTTATTAGTGGCTGATGAATTAGATCAGTGGTATTTCATTACTGTTGATCAGTCTGGGTATCTCTGCTCTCTGGGTGGTGCTGTACATACTGAAGTTAAGTCCTCGTGTGCTCTCAGGGTATGTGTTCTCTGTTGCAAACCAAAGATGTTTTTTATAGCAAAGTCCTTGAGATGGAATATACGTGGCCACAAAAGCAAAGTGCCAACTTGCTTAACGGTGTGGCTAATAAGAGGGATCTGACAGCTATGGGGAATAACTTCAGGAACATCTAAATGAGACATTGCTGTGGTTCCATGAAACCCACAAGCAATTAAAATACATCAGTCGTGGTGTTAGAGTGTACTTTCAAACATTTCAGTACAGTCTGACTGGATGTGCTCAGGAACTATCCCTCTTTTATGGGAAAAATCTATAGAAAAGTTTATGATCTACCCAAATGTTTTATGCCACTGAATCCCAAAACAAGAAACAATCTATTCTCTGTTGTGACTGCTCACAGAGCTGCAAAGAGCACAAGACAGCATTACATGGAACCCATCTTCCTTCCTTCCGCCAGTTTGCTGTCATGCTCAGATGAAGTCTTCCAGGTACATGGCCTCTGAGACCCAGGACAAGTGTCCCATTCGTCATTCTTCTCTCTGTGGCTCTCACTAAACTGCACAAAGCTTAAATGAAGCTTTCCATCTGGGATCACAAGTCTGTGCTTAGCATATCCTTTTTTCCTCCATTTAAAGTCCTTTTAACAGTGAGGATTTCTTTCCTGTTCCTGGCAGAGGTCTTTTCTTTGCTGGAGTACTGTGACTGGTTATAATATAATTAGTTTTAAATCAGTGCAACTCTCTGGGGTTAAGGCTTGGACGGCTCAGAGCCACTGCCAGCTTTTAGAACAATGGGTCCTGTATCCTGTGATCATATGCCTGAACATTTCTCCTCAACCTAAGTAATTCATACTGGTTTTGCAATTATTGGAAAACCAAGCTTAAGATGGTATTTGAGGAAGGAATTGTAATGAAACATGTAATGTAGCAAAGCAACAAGTAATAAAATCTGCAGTAGCTTTCCTCTAAAAATACAGGTAAGCAGCAGCTGTTTCTAGCCTGGGCTTTGTTCATTCAAGGGCACGTCAAGACACATAGCAAACACTATTACAGATGGTGCTCTGCACCTACAGCTTTGGGTTGCTTTCAGCTGGCACATTTGAGCACGTGTAACTTCTCCTGTTTTCCCAGAAGGCATACGGCTGTATGTGCTGGTAAACCATATCTGAAACATTACGTTTCCTGAGAGCTGATCCCAAGGACTGTATTACAATGAAATGAACTGAGCTGCACCAGGACAGAAAAAATATTAGAATATGAAGGTAGAAAAGCAAAATCCAAAACACAGATCAAGTAGTCCAATTGAACTGTAGAGATCATTCATTAGCTGTTTCAATAAACTGTGCTTTTAGGGAATACAACTTACTCAATTATTTGATTGGGAACAACATGAAATTTGGTCTGGTAGGGGAAGGATCTTGGTTTAAGAGCCTGCAGTGCCCAGGGATATGAAGGAAGAAAGTTCAGAACTGGACTTGCAAAAAAAGTAATAATAATAATATTCAATTACTGCAGCCAATTAGGCCTTGCCTCACACAGACACGCAGCAATGTGTTAGCTGGCCTTTCTGGTCCCCAGCAGCCACAGACAGACAGAAAATTCAGATCACTCTGGGTAATTCAAATTCTGAATCACTCGACCATCAAATGGACTCAGAGCATAACACTCCTAAAAGGAATGAACAGGAATCTCTGAAATGTTGTCTTAACAATAGAGCTGGAAAGCTAGAAATCCATCTGTCCGCGCTCTCGTTAAACAACTACAAGAGAGCAAGAGAGTAAATAATATATAGAGAAATACATTAAAATGAAATTATAAAAAAAAAAAAAAAAAAAAAAACAATGCTGGTGACAAAAATATCTGGCCACTTGATAGTTTATTTCATCTCTATAATTCATATCTGAAAGGATAATTTACTTCCAGCAATCCAGAGCAATTTCACAGTGAAGGTTTAATCAAAGATTGGATTCCAGCAAAATCTCTTTAATAGGAATCCATGACACTTCAAAAAAAAAAAAAAAAAAAAAAGAATGTTTTTGACTAAGCATGAACAAAGCTCTTATTCTGGCAGAGGAAAGCTTTACATTTATTGAGGGTAAATCTCTTATCTCTTTTGCAACAGCATCTCTTCCAATCTGTTTTGTCAGCTACAAGTGTGACATGGTACAAACATACCTGTATTTTTGTCTCACTTCCCAGCTGGGATAATTATTTATAAACAAGTGTTCTGCCTGATAAACGTTTTTTGAAGCTAAAACCTTCATTTCTCATTTTTCTTGCAGGGTCGATTAAAAACATAGGAGAGATCTCAGAGGGATTTTTCTTTCTTAACACATCTTTAATGCAACATTAACTCTGACAAGTTGCATAACAATGACTTTGGCATAGGATAATTCATCTACCATTCCAATGTAACTTTAATGTGGACCTATTTCTGCTGATGATGGTATAGGGAAAGGTCATTATAGGCTATCATTTTGCATACTTTGGCTAGAAATATTCAGACTTATGCCAGATCTGTTTGATACAAGGTCTTGCTTTACACCCAGAGAAACTGAGGCAGAGGGTACAAGCCCTCCAAGGGCAGAAAGCAAGAGGGCTACGAACTTATGCTTTTCATTCAGCACTTACTTAGTGACTTGCTACTTCTCATGTTTGTCCATTAGGACTGTATGAAGCTGAAAAGTGGTTGATGTTGATTAAAATAATTATTTTTGAAATTTTACTTGCTTCTCCTGACCCACTTTGCTTTAATGAGCAGATCTTTCCTTGTGTTGTCTTTGCCAGCTACTGCAATGGAATTTAGTTAAATGTCAATTTCTTTAGAAAAACGGCAGTTCTGATCCTCTCAGTCTCTAAGTCCACATTTAATAATACTGCAGTTGTGAACGCTGCTGTTCCTAACACAGAATTAGTGTTCAGAATTCAGAAACAGGAGAAGGGGAGAATTCAGCTGCACCGTGTAAATACAAAGGAGCTGCTTGGAAACAGAACGAGGAAGAATCTGCAAACTCTGCTTGTTCAGTCACTTCTATCACCTCCGACGCAGCGCACGCCTCCTCCCAGCTCCTCTTCCTGGACAGCGAGCTGCTCCACTTTCCAGGCACTCTCCTGCAGCCTGTACCTACAAGTCAGATCACTGCTAACTACTGAAAGTTTGTAATCTTCTATGGCAAAGTTAGGAGTGAACAGGCAATAACTTCGTCATCTGCAAAACAGGAACAGCTTTTAGCACTGCATGGGGACTCTCGCCACTACTCTGAGATAAATAATAACACTAACAGTGCCAAAAGGAGATTAATAATATTCATTTCTGTTTCTGCTTCAGCAACAAGCCAACCGGAGGACTGGCTTTTTAAAGCAATTGAGTTTCCATTGTTCTTGTTCCTCCAAGCAGGAGATGTTAGATAAGATTCAAGGACTGTTGGCCTAACTCAAGCACGTGCCAGCACTCAAGCACGTGCCAGCACCAACCTGCTTCAGCAGTGTGACTGAGCGGGCCTCCTCTGGCTGCACACACTGTGTGGACCAGAGATGAGCACCAAGCAGATGAGAACCACCGCCAAGTTTCCTGCTTCCACCGGCCCTTCTTGCAGTTCTGCAAGCCATCAGGAGCTTTTTGCCCTTTTGCAATGGGTGTGGGAATTTGCATCCATCAGTACTCAACAGAGCACCAAGGGGTGTTGTTCCGACCGATGTACAGCCCAAAGTGGACGCACTTTGGGCTGGACCTTCTCAAACCAAGCCTACCTGCTTAAGCTTAACTTAAAAAAGAAGCGTTTAGACCTGGTGTGACTTCTCCACCAGGGACATCTGCATGGCCCCACCTGCAGGCAAAGCACTGAGGCTGGAAGGCACCTTTCCGGGTCACCCTGTCCCATATAGGCTCACCGTGTCCACTCAGGCTGAGTGTCTTCATGGCCAGAGCCTCGCAGGGCTGCCTCCTCCACAACAACACAGCAACCTGTTTTCTTACATTGGGATGGAAGGTGTTGACTGTGTCTTTCCCAGTCTGCGGGCAGCGCTATGAGCCTGGATCCACCTCCTTCACACCAGGTAACCTGTAACGATGCCCCACTGTCTCACCCACCACGGTGACGTGAAACAGAGCGAGGACCTCTCCACAGCACGCTAAAAGTGCCTCGAAACCCCCCCCCCTTTTCTTTTTTTTCCCTTCCAAATCAAAGTAGAGCGCATCACATTTCAACCTAATTCCGAGGACCGCGGGGCCACCCAGAAGCGGTTCACCCTTCTTCCCTTTTACCCGAGCTCAGGCCCGACGAAAAAGCCGACGAACAGCCGAGCGCCCATCGCAGCGCCCCGTCCCGCACCGCGCCGCGCCGGCAGCCCGAGGCCCTGCCCGGGGAAGCGGCAGCCGAGGGCCGGGCGGCACCTGCCGCTCCCTACCTGAAGACGCGGAGCAGCAGGCAGGCGATGAGCGCGGCCGTGAGGGCGCAGGCCCCGATGACGGCGGCCTTCAGCGCGGACAGGTCTCGGAGCAGCGCGGGCACGGGGCTCAGCTGGGCCCGGCTGTGGTTGCCGGCCGCTCCGTGCGGTTCGACGGCCGGCCGGCTGCCGTTCACCGCCGGGCTGAGCGCTACCGCCGGCGGCTCCCGGCTACCGCGGGCTCCCGGCAGCGCGAGCAGCGAGCAGGCCGCGAGGAGCAGCAGCGGGCACGGGGAGCGCATCCTGCCCGGCTACGGCCGCCACCGCGCCGAGCCCCGGAAGGCAGCGGCGGCCCTGCCCGGCCCGCCTCCCGAGCGGCGCCGCCTCCCGAGCGGGAGAGGCCCGGCCCCGCTCAGCGCTCACCGCTCGCCGCGCCGCCCCCCCGCGCTCCGGCGGCGCTGCCCGCGGCTGAGGTGCGCGCTGTGTGCCGGTGGGCTGCGCTCCCAGCCGGGGTTGTGCCCGCTGGGGGGGACCTGAGCGGCTTGGGCACAAGTGCTGTGGGCTGAGCTTGAGGGAGACGGGATGTTCTCCACACTCTGAAAGTGAAGTGAAGGTGAAGTGGGGATTGGGCCTTTTTTCTCAGGTAACAGCGATAGGATGAGAGGGAACGGCCTCAAGTTGTGCCAGCTTGGACGTTAGGAAAAATTCTTCTCCAAAGGTAGCGATGCATTACAACAGGCTGCCTAGGGAGGGGATGGGGTCACTGGCCCCGGAGGCGTTCAAGAACGGTGTAGATGTGGCACTGAGGGATGTGGGCAGCATTGGTGATAGGTGGATGGTTGGACCAAAGGATCTTAGTGGTCTTTTCCAACCTTACTGATTCAGTGACTCATACAGGCCTTTCTCTCTTACCAGTGGGAAGCAAGGAAGAAGGATGCTTAGAAGAAAGGCTGATGCCCTGTTTCCCACCAGCAATGGAGGAAAGGGTGAGGCAGGACTGGGAAGGATAAAGCTATCGCTGCCAGCTGGGAGCCAAGCAGACAGGCTGAGTTTCGTGAGCAGCACTGCACCGACGGACAGATGTCATGCCCAGGCTGGCCTGCTTTATGTAAGTCAGCCTTTCCTGTGTGTAAAGGGTGCCAGAGGCACTTGCCAGCTGGTGAGGATCTATGCAGTTAAAGGGTGTGTTAATCCACAGTGACTGCTCTATAAATACAGACTTGGATCTTGTTACTTGTCTGGTGAGCTCACGGTGCTCATGTTTCCTTAGCAATTGCTGCCCTTTTTGGCTTAAGCAAACAGATACGGTATTAAATGTTCACCATCCCTTGGTGCCCACTGAGGTGTTTCAAGAGTCCGTGCCTGGCTTCTCCCTGAGACTCAAACCTGTGATGATGGCTCTGCACAATCCCTTTTCTGCATGGGACTGCTGTCTAGGAAGGTTGTGAGTGGGACTTGTCCCTGTGACTGATTTTACTCTTTCAAATGTGTAGTAATTCACAGCACTTAGGAAGCCTTCTCAAAAATGAGAGTAAAATTAAAAAACATTTTGCTTGAAAAGTTGCCTGCTTTCTGTACATGCCACTGGACTCTTGGGGAAGGGGTTCAATTATCTTGTTTCACTCTCGTGTTCCTCTAGAGACATCTATCTAAGAAACAGATTGGACTAATTTTATTTTTGTATGCCTATTAAGCCAATGGGGTAACACCAGGGATGAATGTGGCCCAATGGGTTCCTTAAGAACTCATCTGTTCCTTACTCCAATAACATTTCTTTGCCAATAACAACTGTTTTTAATTACAACACGCAACATCTGTCCAAATATAAAATGAAGTGATCACAGAGTTCAAGCTGCGATGCATTTGCACGGGCATTCTCATGGAATAAGCCTCGTTGTGTTGCTGATTCAGCATTTTGTATCTGTTAAACTGAAAGAATTACTAAAATTGCTGTACTTCTTTTGCCTTCAGCAACAAAATACACTGATCGCCTCGACCTTGAGTCTAGTTTAATTTATGTGGCAATACTTGACATCTATCAAATGATGGTAGTCCTTTTCTTAAGATTCATGGAAATCACAGTTGTGACTGTGAAATTAATCCAGGTGTGCTGAGTATTTGAGTAGTGTCATTAAGCTGGACAGTGAGAATAAATAAGGAAGCCTATGCTAGGGTACTGCTAGGACATAACTTAGTTTTGCTTGCCATGTGTTCTATCGGATTAGCACAAGTTTCACTACTGCAAAATAATTGCTTGTGTCTGGGGAAAAGGGCACGTTGCCACTGAAATGAAGTGAGAGAAAGGAGGAGAGAAGAAGGAGCTGATTTCCTGCCTATTAAACTCCGCCTATGCTTCAAGCTTATCATGGTAGGGTATAATCTATGTGTGTGTGTGTGTCAATCAACTTTGAAAAAGATTACACTGCTGGCAGTGTGCAGTTGGGAAGATAGCAGTGAATAATGTATGGTTCATAGGCTTTCCTGGCCAATTGGGATACTGTATCAAACACCACCCACTCTATAATAAAGGCATCCTGTGCTTTTTTCAGGAAGTTCTTTGGTATGAGGAAATTTTGACATGTACAATGTGCAGAAGGGCATCTAAACTGTCTGAATTGGTCATTGTTCCAGCTTTATTTCATTGTTTGTTTTTGTGTAGTTTCCCAGTTTCTGACATGGGGCCCCAATTTATTTCTGTTCACCAAGAGAAAAGAATCCAGCTGGGGAGAAGGTCAGATTGGTGATGCAGACTCTTTCCCAAACATTGGTGTGAGCACTGTTCACTTGATTTATTAATTGTAAACACTGACCCTGATGTTGGCCCTGCCTGTTATGAGATGTTTGCCAGCTGCTGCTTTGCCTCTGTCAGACTTCACTGTGTCATACACTGCCATTCCTCTTGCAGCTCAGTGCTTTGCCATACAATGAAGTAAAAGATGTAGGGGCTTCCAAAGTGAACTGATTCTGGCTTGTCACGAGGCTTCGGGTCCAAAAATGCATCAGTCATTTGCTATTGCTTTTATAAGTGTAATTAGAGCTTTGCAGTGACATGTACTGGTCATGAATCTAGACAAAGGCACTCTTTACCCTCAAAAACTAATATCTGTAACTGGTGCCTTCAGTGCTCAATGGTTATGCAAAAATGAGGGGTAAAAAGCAGATGCTGTCCCCTGTGGACAGCATCTTTTGTGTTTCTTGTGCAAAGACAGATGAACCACAAAGATTCCTTCTATGCTTGCTCAGAACTGAGTGCTGCCATCTTTGCAGTGGGGTGATGCAGGACAGTGGGAAGCACAAAATCCTTTTTGAGTGTAAAAAAATTAGCATTTCTGGATCTATGATTTTCCTGTGATCATCTTTAACCTTCTTGTAACATTGCTGTTGTAGTGCAGGACTGCGAGCTTTGTAACCCATGTCAGTTTGTTTCACATCCATTTTTTAATAGAACCGGACTTATTCCCAAAACATTCTGCAAGTTTGCAACAGAATTTGCTGTATTGTATGAGTGCATCAGTCTAATTTTCTCTGAAATGCTTAGCTTGAAACATCTGTTACTTGACTAGCATAAAGCAGGCAGTGGTGGATGCTAAATCTAGCACTTTTGTTGGACTTTTATTGCTACTTCTGCTTTTTTTTTTTCATGTTCCTGCAGCAGATATTTCAGTCTACTAAGATTTATGCTGAAAGCCAGCATGGAGAATTAATATTTATTGACACTACAGAGTTCCTCTATTTGACAAGGTACAATTGTACCAGTATGTGCGGTGTCAAAGATATTCCAAACAGTTTAGAAATGATAAAGCTCAGGATTTTTCTGGCTTGTTTTGATCCCCCTAAGATGCAGACTTGTGCTGTTGGATTTTTTTTGGTGCTCAGATGAGAAGGCAGCACAGCAGAAGTAAAAAAAGGCATTATCTACGTACAGAGTACAATTACTTCCATTTGTACCTTTGCTCCGTCCCCTGCCTTCTAAGGTTCTTCTTTATGGCCATTTCTATCCTCAGTAATCTGGTTCTGAACATAATTGGGTTTAACCAGCCACTCAGTGACGGTGATTAATGATTTGGGTACTTTTTATTGCACTCCTTGCATCCAGGTAATTTCTGCTCAGCAATGTCTAGACATATGTGGGAATAAAGGTGTGACTGTGTTTAGAAATAGGACCTGCTGAGTGGGAGTCCCATGGTAAGTTACCTCTGTACCTCCTGCATGAATTTTGCCTGTTTTGCCTGTCTTTTTCACTGGAAGAGGTCAAGGAGTGTCAGAGAGATGCAGCTGTGACCAAAGGCAGAACATTTCATGAAGCTGGTTTGAGATTATACTTCAGCAGTGTTTGAGCCACATCTGAAGTTCTCTGAATGAGACCTATTGACTTAGATGAGCCCTGGATTTATTCCCCGGAATCTTCATTCTGCAAAGCAATAGAACATTATATTCCACCACGTTGTGTGTGATGCTGAGGTTCTGTTCAATTACGATTTAATTTCATTTTGTTCTTTAATTAGGACAGATTGGGATTTGTTCCCATCTGTTCGGTGGAAATCCCAAGTGGCTGATTCTTAGGAAAGTAATATCTCAGCTCTGATCCATTTTTTTATGAACTGCACAAGGTATTTAGTGTAGTCACTTCCTCTTCAGATGTTAAAAGGCTGAACCAATGGAAAATGGCTTGACTTTCTTGAGAACAAAGCATGAAGCCCCAAGAGGAAGTATATCTTCTGAGGGCTTCCCAGCATCTTGGCTAATTTTAGACACCATAAACTGATCCAGCTGTCATTGCTGTCGTAACTTCTCAGGTGATTTATTTCTCTTTGGAGCCAGAAGAGGGAAAGTTTACCCCAAAACTGAAAATACTAAACCAGTGGCAAGAATCAGTGTTTTGGAAAGGATTCACAAAACTGTAATGCAGAGGGAAAAGGACTGTCGTCTTAGCAGAGGTAATGTAAAAGGACCTTCGAGTTTTTTAACCTTGCAATAAATAGCAGCCATAAAAAAGACTCAACTTTTATAACAGTATATTTGTTCTTCAGATTATCCTTGGAACAAATAGGGTGTTAGAGCAGAGGGAGCTTGGAATCTTCCTTATAGCCCCATCCCTAAAGATGCCAGTAAAGTGGGAAGCAAGACATCCAAATTCTTTTCCAAATGGCAATATCCAAAGGAAATATTTGCAGATTGTTACTATGTAAATAATCTGTAAATGTTCCTCCTGAAATTTAAATTAATTTTGCAATCCTAGCTCCATATTCTGAAGATACAGAGGACTTCTTCAGTAAATATATTTGAAGTAAAGCGTCATTAATATGTCAGCTTTGCAAAACATAATTTGTTTCACATGGCTTCAGGGGTTTTTTGTTTGTTTGTTTCAGCCTTTTTTTTTTCCCTCATGGATGTTTTACTGATATTTTTTCATGTCATTTGCCTACACTGGAAATCATTCCTGGTTCCTAGTCTGGAATGTGACATTTCGCAACTCTGTTCTTCAATGACATCATGTGGCTTGTTCTGAACAGAGCAGTAATAAATACAAGAAGGGGAGTTTGCCAGCCCTTCTGCAATAAGCATTCTACTGGAACAGTCATTTGTCTGAGATTTGAACTAATTCATGGGGTTTAGATTTTGCGTAGTATGTCACATTTTCCATGTAATTAGGACAGAGGGTCCCACCTGGATAACAAGGAACCTCTATCTTTCTTTCATCTCCCCCTTAGCAGTGGTTAATGCAAAGGTATGCACTCCCAAGAGCTTTGGTAGAAGAACAAGATTTTGAGGAAAAGAAATTCAGTCAGTAGAAAATGCAGGAAGTGTTTGGTTTCGTTTCTGATGAGAGCTTGCTTTTCTATCCTGTTAAAACATGAACCTCGAGGAGACTTTACATCAGGGGTGGGAGTTGTTTTAGCTTTTCCCCTTACTGAGCTGTTCTTTCAGTTTACACCTGCTCGGTGTCATTATAGACTTGAGCTCTCATGCAATAATGCTTTTGGCAGAAGAGCCTGGTTCTGACTAGATAGAACTAGGAAGTGTTTCTCTCTGCTACTGCTTCTGGGAATGGCAGATTTCTGTATTTATGGATGCCTATTACAGGAACATCCCCATTTGTGGGGAACGTTCTTTATGCATTGCTTAGAAATGCACTTGAAACTCAGGTTGCCCATTGCTTTGGGCTTCCTGATGACTTCCACACAGCACACAGATGTATTATAGGGCACTCAGAATAAGGGAGAAATTGCAAGAAATGGTTCAGAAAATAAATAAGCAAAGGAGATGAATTTGGCTACATCATTGGATTTAGGCGAGTTGGGATTTGTGGGAACAAATACACCTTTGTGTAAGAAATGAAACATACTCACATTGAGGCAAACTACCTTCCCAAGGAGTTTCTGCAGAAATAATGCATCTTCTGAACAAAGACCAGGTGGGAAATGAAGTGTGATGTATAAAGGAGCAGTGCTGTACGAGCACACTCCTTCCCATGCCTCAAAACTAAAACCTCAGCCGCTAGCAGGGATATAAATGCAAGGAGTGACCAGGTCAGGTATCATCAGAGGAGTCTTAGAGCT